TTTTTTTTTTTTAATATTTAATTTTTAAAATTAAGATATTTATTGGCTGAGCTATTTAAAAACACCTAAATTTTTATTAGCTAATTCTTGTCTTGTTTTCCTTTGCTGCTATGGCAGATGGTATACGGTTTACGGTATATGCCATTTAGCATTTGGTATCTGGCATGTGGTGGTCTCTCCCTGAATGGGAGTCACAGTTTACACTTTCCCAAGACACGAGACACACGCAATCAGAGAAAAACCTCAATCAAAGTTGCTTCGGTGCATAACTTAAAGCGCAGGTCATCAGAGTTGTGTTTGGTTCGTTCGGCTGTGTGTGGGTTGTTTGTTTGGAAAGTGGACGATGGCGATGCCAATGCTAAGATGAATTGCTTGACTTGGCTTGGCTGGGGCACACGGAAACGCACATCAACCTGGGGACTGTCCAAGAAAGAAAGAAGTTAACTGTCGCTTATTAAGTGAAAATGAAAGCGTTTGCCGAAAAACCACTCGACGCGACCCTCTCAACCGGTTTTCCCGCAGCTACCCATCAAACCAGCTAGCCAGCTAACAAGCTGAGCAGCTCATTTTCATAGTTCAAAACTGGCATAGCCCAGTGTGCTTTCTGTGTGTGCACAGCGGTTCTTCTTCCGTGACCTATAACATCTGCTTGTGGCTCAAATTCCCTCTAACACAGAGTTGAAAAGAGCTTGTGAAAAAGGCATGAGTTACACATAATAGCAGTGGATGATTACTCTGTGGGGCACAAAAGTACATTGGGTGTTGGTAGCATATCATTTATATTGTGGGCGTAGCATAGAAAGATTGAAAAGATAAAACATATGTATACATATAAATTTCGGTTTAGGTTTCAAGCCTAGTTTGCAAATAACAGGAATATATTTTAAAAAAAATGTTTATTCTTTTAAAGCTCTACATTAATTGTAAAAAAATTTTTTTTTTAATTGCATCATGATCATCTAAAACTGCTTTGAAAAAGCATGAATTGTTATTAAAATTAATATGTAACAATTCCTAGAATTCTAACGAATTTTTAGATTAAATATGAGTATACATAGATATATCTCATATACAATATTTAAAAATTACAAAAATTGTTTTTGATATACAATTAAAGATTATAATGTATGTAAAATATAATATACATATATAATTAATTCTTCATTATGTTTTGACTAACTTTGTTGTAGTCAAAAATAAAAAAACTTGAGCGATGCAAGAAACTTATCAGAATTGCGAATAAGCATATAAGATAACTTAAAGCTGCAAATGATTTACAAAAATCAACTGATTTTATAGCATAATTATTAAATAGGGAACAAATGAACAAATATATTTTTAGCTAGACTTACATATATGTATATATAGCATATATTTATATAGAATTTTTTAAATTTTATAATTGATGCTTCATTGCTTAAAGCGTTTTCAACTTCTCAACTTGTTTTTCACTTAGCTAAAGCTGTACATTCTTTTATCTCACACTGAAGCAATCTCTGGCTATTGTATAACCCATAGAACTGGCTGTCTATCTTGGATTTAGTTGTTCTACAGTTCATTCATCTATTTATCAGCATTTTAGTTGTTGGCTGTCTTAGCCTTGTCTTAACTTTCTTTGGGGGCATAGACGGCGGCAACACCTTGTAACACTTTAATTACCACTAATTCAGCAGACGGCGACAACAAAGATGCTGTCAGCGGAGAGTATCGAGCAGAGTCGAAGATGGATACGAAAAGCATTGCCCGTGGCCTAACTTGATCTTGATCCATGTCTGATTCCGTCAATTAGTTGAGCTGAGCGTCTTCTAATGTTTCGTTATGTTTTTATCTTTTCTTGTTTTTATTTTGGCTGAGCTTTGGAATTTCGGAATTCGAAATGGAATTTTTCGGTTTGGAGCCGGTGTGAAAATGAGCATTTAAAAGCGGGTCAAGCGAGCTTCGCGTTGAGTGCGCGCCCCCTTTGAACTTGCCGCCCCATCGGTCCAATATTTGTGTGAAATGTGTGAAAAATATGTTTAAGTTGTATAGTTGGCAATATCGAGCGGTTGCTCAGCTGCTTCTATCAGCTTCTGACAACCGCGTCGCATGGCGCAACGAATCATTGATTGTGTGCTGCCTGGCCAAAACTGGCCAACCTCCAACCTTTCACTGCATGCATATAAACGGGCAATAAAAGCGTGGGCCGGCCACTCACCTGTGTCTAACTGCATCTATCGAACGACGTCGACGGCGCCGTCAAGTCGCCGCGCTCGCTGGCGCCTCGATTAGGCGCGCAGCATTTGTTAGCCAACTGTCACAGAGTGCCAAACAGCAAACAGCCAACTGTGGCAACTGTGACTACTGTGGCAACTGCGGCAACAGGCAGCATAATAACTTTTGGCGCTCGATTCTGTCAACACACAAACTCGCCATTACGTTTTTCGCCAGGCGCTCAGCAAAGTTCAGCAGTCGCTGCCCAGTGAAAGTTGACGCGAAAGCCACCCAGCAGTCGCCACCCACAGCTAAATGTCTGAAGGTCATGGCACATGCGCTGTTCCCAGCCAGCCCCAGTTCAAATTGTTGTCGTAGGTTCTCTTCTACTGTCCCTCTCGCTCTCTCTCTCTCTCTCCCTCTATCTCTTATTCCCCTCCTCTCTCTCTATCTGTTTGTGTCTGTTTCTCTGGCCATCAGCTGTTGATTGCTTTCGTTCAGTTTCCGCCAAGGCATCGAGTTTAATGCAGCTCTTCCGCTTATAGCACGAGAAAAGGTATTATAAAGCAAGTCAGAGTCTGCTAGTGAGCATGCTCGACTTTTAAATACCCAGTGTCTATTAATGAAAATTATTATTGCAGATAATCATCATTTTTAAAATATATATTTGATTTATATTTACTATAAAATAAATGCCCATATTGATGAGTCTACCGTTACCCTCTCTCAATGCTTATCACACTCTGCTTGCTCTCAATACTTACAGGGCATCAATAATACAATTCAATGAAAGAAAAATTCAACATTCTAACAAATTGTGTCCATTAGACAAAGTTTCACCCAGCCAGATAAAAAATAACAAAGCAAAACA